TAAATCCCATAGAAAACCTATGGGATTTACTGAATCGCAACATTAAAATAACGTCGATTAAAAAGAAATAATACTTAAAAGCTCGTTTAATAAAAGGGTGGGAAACGCATATCACAAAATTATTTAGAAAAAATAATTTCTAATATGCTCACACGTTTAAGAGAAGTAATTAAAAAACATGAACAACCAACAAAATATTAAAAAATTGTTATAATTTAGTTTATGTATTATTAAGTAATTATAAACTATTAAGTGTCCGAATATTTCTGAGACTCTGAAATTGTGTTTAATTTTGATTAAAATTTAATATGTACAAAACAATAAAAAATAAAGTATATACTTTTTTACGTATGTGTACTGAAATAAGTACTTTAACTTATTACAACGACATAAATTCGGTAAACACATGATAAATAAGTATATGAAGCCATAATTTCACAATCACTATGATGTTCGAATATTTATGAGAGTAACTGTATATGCTTTAAAGCTTGATGACAAGCAGTAATAGAAATATCGAAATGATTTGTAATTTCATAAAGTTTCAAATTTTGTTTACGCAATAGCAGAATTTCTCGTCGTATATCTGATATAGCTTACTCGCCTTCATCCATAATTATAAAACAGAAAATGAAAAATAAGCAAACTACAGATTAAATATTTTCAATTTAACGAACTGCAGACATATACAGTACGAAGAATTTCATACAACTGATATTAATAAAACGTTATTAATTACGTGCTCGCTTCAAATGTGTTGTTACGCACTATTTATCATCGAAGAAGTCAAACAATAACTTTAACCAAAATATCTTCTATATCAAATAAATTGTACATTGATTAAAGTGTACTTAAAATTTACATTGATAGAAAATATCGACTTTATATATATTATCAATTTTATTTACAAAAATAGATTAAGTTTAAGTTTGCAAAAACATTTTTCTTATTTATATGCTCGCCACTGTAATAACGTTAATTATTAGAACAATTTATATAGTTAAGGAATTAAAAATTAAATATTAATTTTCTTTAATTCAAAAATTCGTGCGTTTGATTCGTTTAACGTAAAACTTAACGATAACTTGATAAAAAAAAATCTTTCCTCCTTCTTTTTTTTTTTTTCTTATTATTCTTCGCTTCCTAAGAATGCGAATTGTAACGACCAAGTAGGACGACTATTCGAATGCGAAAACCGAGAAAGTTTGAACGGTTAAACTTGTTTCCACGCCATTCGTTCGGCATCATTGAAGTGAAGAAGATCGTTTAAAGCTGACCGCAGTGGAAAACAACAGGACTTTGAACAAATACGACATTGCGTGACGAATAATCTTCCTTCGATTTCTTGATCGGGCGATCAACATAAGGAGAAAAGACAAGAAAAGAAAAAAAACAATAATTACAAAATACCAATATTCAAAGAATTAGATTGAAAGTAATGAACAATGCTTAATTATTAAATCATTCATTGCAAAAGGAGATAGTTATTTAAATATCACGATCAAAGTTCTATCGACAGATTATCGTCGTTATAAATTAATTTTCAATGAATCATTATCGTCATTTGCTTAAACGTCGATCAAAGCCTTTTTACAATACTATGAAAAGTAGAAAATTCTGAGATATCAAGAGCAACGAGAGACAGAGAGAGAGAGAGAGAGAGAGAGAGAGAGAGAGAGAGAGAGAGAGAGAGAGAGAGAGAGAAGAGAGAGCAAAAAAGAGGATGTCAACGTATTTTCATTGATTATCACAGTACGAAGCCATTTAATCTTCCACGATTGCGATAGGACTCTCTTCTTTTTTATGGAAATGAACGAAGATATCAATGTGCGTACATATATTAAACGACGCTTCTGTTATCTCACCCGGAAGTATTCACCATGAGTATGTATGTTTGTACTTTGTAGATTCCCTTTAGTTTGCTTTTAAACACGCGATTTCTGTCCCATGGCGTTTAAAAAAAAAAGAGAAAAAAGAAAAAGAAAGAAAGAAAAAAAAACAATGGAAAAAAGAGGAAAAAGGAAAAAAAAACAGTCTATTTTATAGCACGTGATTTTCATCTTATCTCTTATATAACGATAATTTCTGTTTGAAAAAGAAAAGGAAAAAGAAGGTGAGGGAAAAAAAAAAGAAATAAAACCGAAATCACACGTCGCCTCGGTCTTTCCAATGAACATAGAGATATAACAATTTCTTTTTATCGTAAACGATTATTTCATATCATTTTATTCAATTTTTTTTTTCTGTTTTTTTTCCCTCCTGCTTATATCTATTCTTCTAAGTAGATTTCGTAACTGTCGATGATTGTGGTACGTGGATGGCTTCCTATTCTTTTCAGTCTTTGTGTCGGAATGGCTTCGCCTTCGCAATAAACAGAGCAATGATTTACAAAGGGCTCCTTTTTTCCATTCATTGAAGGTGGTAGAGTCTTTACTAAGGTGTCGCTCGACAATCAAATCCATTAGAGTAAGAAAAAAAGGAAAAGAAAAAAGAAAAAGAA